ACTAAATGGTATAACTTACATTGGCCCAAGAGAAACAATGTGAATTTTCTTGCATGATCGAACACGTGTCCAATCTGTTTATTTCTCATTGCTTAAAACTCAGGCAGACAAGATTCGATGTTCAGATTACTCCCAACTTTCCTGTTCGATCCTACTGTTATTAAGCGGATCTATCTAATACTTGCACAGAAATCACATAAAAACGCCTAACTTTTCTATTTCTTAAACTCTTTGTATTTACCCAAGTTTGAGTGACTAGTGAAAACCTCAAAATAACGACTTTTTTGTGTCATTCACTACCGGTGGGACACACATAATGTATGATATAGACTAATTTTATGTTTTTTACTTGTGACAGCATTCGTTGCAAAGAACTGAAGAAAAACAATTAGTGATATTAGATATTCTCTATGTATAATACAAAGCAAACCATCAGCCTAATGTGGCTTTGCTCTACAAAGAACAAACAAAGTGGGTTGGTGCATAAATAGTTATAAAGACGATGGGGGTCCATATTCATCAGATCAGCAAATCGCGGGTTAATTACAGAGGAAATACACATGTTTTTGTAAATTCATAATACACAATGCATGGATGTAGTCGTGCCTTTTACTCATAACAAACTATCACCATTTTAATCGCCTATTAACAATTAATGTAATTAATAGTATTGAAGCTATTTATTTCATTATATATACATACATACATCACCTGGCTATTGGAGTCGGAATGATACATTTATAGAATCGAACACACGTAAACAAGTACAGCTGGCATTCGACAACGAATCTATCAGGTATGCGAAACACAGGTGAACTACTTAGAATGTCTGTGAAAGGTAATATTTAACGCCAATCTGAAAGAGTGTTAAGCGTCCTTACTTTAACGTTCAGGGCATTTTCAGCTTAAATGTGGAAAACGTAAAAATACTGGCAGGTAAGAAAATTTTGTATAAAATTATTTACACTGTCTTATAACAAATATGAAAAAATATAAAAAATAAATAAACTTCCGTTACGGAAAATACTTTCTTTTTTGTCACTAGAGGTTGTTAGCTACTTTTGAGTAGCTAAATTTATAATTATAATTTTATTCTGTATATCGGGACCGAAAAATTAACTTCAATTAACTGGGCTTGTCTCGGCGTGTTGTACTTGAATAAGCTTCAAGAGAAAGGGATGAGGTTGGGAATATGAACTACGTAAGAAATATAAAGGCAGGGTTGTTAGGGTGGTATTATTTCTAAGAACTTTTAAGGTAACTGCCTTCCCACAACTGGCTGCAGACAGCGAAAGGCAGTAGGACTTAAAACGTTGTGAGTGTAAGCACTCAACTCCACACCCTTAATTAATTTTTCCATGCTTGTTGGTTAGTTTAACGTCAACATTTGGATTTTATCTAATAGATGGGATATCCCCAAAGCATTTGGGAGCTATTACCACATGCATCATCCGCTATGAATTTAAGGTGGCAACTAAGGCTGACAATGGATATATATAATAAAATAATTAATACAGCACTGAACTAGTGAAAATTCTCCACGCTAGGCCTTTATAAACAGTCTTATATAGATTATCGTTAATTAATTGACTAATAACAAGTTTCATTTTGTTTGTTATAATTTTAGCATATGCTTTATAGTCACTACATAATAGAGATACTGGTCCCTATATCCCAATTCATACTGACCAACTCTGTTATTATCAGATACTAGTTGGACGGGTGAAATAAAAACTCGTTTATAACAAAGGATAGGAAATTGTGCTTCTATTTTTTTTCTTAACATGATGAACATCAAAAGTGCAATAAAAATACATAAAAGTACCAATACCGAAAA